TGGCCCAACTATTTCCCAGCAGTGGTCCCTTATGGCACCTTGCACAGACCAGCACAGAATCTCTTCCTTTCCAGCTCAGGCATCCCTGCTGATGCTCTTGAAACGTCCCCTGTCAAGTCTGGCATTCCCTCAGACACAAGCTGTGATGAAAGCTTCATCCATCATTTCACTTCCAGCGCAGGCTGACCAGGGCATCGCCAGCTCTGTTCTCAATCATGTAGATTATAATAAGCAATTTCAAGCTATGTTGTCCAGGTATTGTGACATGATACCCTATCGTGTCATGATAGGACTATGCATTTCCCTTCTACTCATGGTATGTTTTGATCTGATCCCAAAATATATGTGTTTTGTTTCCACAACACAGTATAAAGAGAGCCACCATGAAGCTGGGTTTATTTTTGGAGACCTCTGTTTAATTTTCCTCTGGCAGGGCACAAAGGATGGCTGCATTTACTGGGTGATACTGTGTGATATTTATCCTTCTGTCAAACTCCAGTGGGGAAAACAGTCCTATAGTCACTCAGCTGAGAGAAACTGTGTATATTCTATCTCAAAAGGAAGAATAAATGCCTTTCTGGAAGATCCATTTTAGCCAAATGTATTTCATTTTAGTCAAACATAAGTTTTCTGAGTCACAGGAAGAGTAACTGGATTAAATTTAATAGTCTCCAATATAGAGGAAGTCTCTTTTGGACTCAAACCATATGAAGCAACACATTTTGCGATAACAAAAAATAGAAAATCAAGCTAGGAAGCTGACAAGAGAAATACATATTTTACTCTCTGCTTTTTAAACCTTTTCATAACAATCAAATAATTTATTTTGTAGAAAATCATGGGGTAGATGAAAATTTCAGATGCCTCGTTTTGCTGCAGAGGAGGTCGGGAAGTCCAGACATCCTCTCGGTCTCCTTTTCAAAGGCCTCGGGTCCATCCTGAGGGAGGAACAGCAGCAAGGTGCTGGATGTTAGCGAGGTCCCACTCTCCACAGCTGCTACACACTGGGGTTATTTTGAGCTCTGAAGACAATTTATCAAATTACATTTCTGAAAAATGGTACAATATGAGTCATATTTACTTCACATTTCTCTTGCTGCAGGCTCTCGCTATTGGCTGCGGGATATTTATTACGGATGCCTGCTCTGAGAATCTCCTTTCTGGGTCTGTATTTCACATTTAATGAGTGCTTTTGCAATTTCATGACTATTTTCTCAAGTTAAGGTGGCACTTTGCAAAGCCTAATGGTTTATGGCCTGTTTCAGACTTCACTGATTTCTGCCCGTCACTATGTACATGAAACTACTCACAACTCCAAAATGTTGCTTCTCCCCCATTCTGCTGTGTATCAGCCAGTACTTTGAAAGCACAGACTTTAAGGGTAACGACAGGGACCATCTCACCTCAACCAGGACAAATTAGTCCATGTGGTAGCGACTGAACCATATCCAGTGGGGCCACTGGTCAGTGATGGTGCAGAAGGGGGACAGCATGCTCCAGTGGGAAATGTCCAAGAGCTCACAGCCTCCTTTGGTTGAAGCTATGTACCTACGATAGAGTCTTTCCATTTAAGGCTTAGCAGGGATGGATTCCTTGCTCATGCCCATGTTGCAGCATCCAAAGGCACAACATAGACTGCCACCGGCTCCAGCTGAGACTCTCCACGACTGGTTACTGCCTGGCCTTTGTCACGCTCATCCAGTCTATGCCTAGATATGAAGGCTTCAGAGCTTCAAGGACACCAGTCAGCCTCATGCCCAGCAGCCTCACTCCTTGGGAGATGAGGCTATGGGCACATAACCCACCGTGATGCTCTGTCTTGGCCATTCGCAGGTCTTCAAATTCATAGTGTATCTTTAAAGTGCTTTGTAGGTTGTGACCAGCATACTTTAAAGCCTGATTAAAGTTCTGGCTAGTAAGACTGTCCTTAAAAAGGACACCACTTTCCTTCAAAAGCCAATTTTTTTCTCTGTGGGGGACTGAAGTTCCCTGGGGCCTGGTCTGAGACTGAGGAACACACATTTGCAAGAGCAAGGAGCTGCTGCAAACCTCACCACCTGCTGTGCTGAGTGATGTGTCTGTGGTTTTGATCTTACATTTTTTTATGATAAATACATAGTGGCATATGCACTTAAAACAAGCATGCTCTGGAAAAAAAACAAAACAACAAACCTCCAGACAAATTTCCCCTACTCCTTCCCAAAACAAAACTGAAATAAACAACCCAAAACCTCTACAAAAACAAAATACACCCCTGCATTTGCTCCTTTCTGCTGGGGAGAGAATGACAGAACAGATGTATAACAGAAGCTATTTCTGTTGGTTAATACATTACTGGGGAGATGCTGAGAGATTGTAGTGATAAGTTTAGAAGCAACCATATAGGAAATATATTGGAATAGAGCAGATCCCCACCTGCCCACAATGTCGCTCTACCAAGCATTCATTCCTAAGTGATGTGTCACAGAAAGCCTGCACTAGGTTTGTGTGAAAAATGCATGTGAAATACAGAGTGCGCTCAGAGCCTTTCTGTACAACAACATCCTACGGAAATTCTCACTCTTCTGCTTCCTCCTTGCTTTCACATTTCATAGAAATGTTCCCCTCTGCTTGCAACCATCTTAAGGAGCTGTACTCAGAGTACTGGGAGTTATAAGAATTCCCATATTTCATTTCTCAGATTTTCTGTTCTTGCAAATATTTGTAGTCAGAAAGTGCTCTTGTGCTCCATGGGAAAATATTAATTTCAATGACACTGTAATTTTCATTATCAGGATGATCAAATTAATAACATTAAAATAACAATGACAGAATCATTCTCATTTCCCATTTCAAAGCAAAATAAAACAACACTTTGAAATGGTGATTCAAGGCATGTTGTTTAGCTAGAGCAAATCTTGTTGTTTGAATCAAAACCACTTATCTTTTCTTGACACTTTTTATTAAAGATGTTTCCAAATTTTCTATTCTGCAAAGTCTCAGCTTTTCACCTCTCCATGCACCTCCTTGGAACAGAAACTGGCTATTGTTCCCAAAGGAAGATATTTGCTTTCCTAAATAAGAATAATGACGACAAGAACAACAAGAATGAAATCACAGCAACCTGATCCTAACGCATGGGGCTGTGTTACAAGACAGCGATAAAGTTGAAATTCCCTCTGCTGGGAAGACTTTCTGAACGCTCTGCCTGGACTCCTAGTAATCAATGATGAGATGATAAAACATATTCATAAAAGCTGTCACTACCAAAGTGCCCTGCAGGCTCTTATTTCCTCGCTATCTCAAGCTCATTAATATTTGGACAAATTAGGATCCAATAGCCAACAAACTGCTGCCTGGCCTCCCCCTGCCATCCCACGGGAGCTGTGCTGAGCTGCGCAGAGTTATCTCCGCTTGCCAATGGAGCTGTACCTCCTTCTCGTCCCCTGAGCTTTGATGCCATCGCAGCATGCAGGAAATTAGCTTCCGCCTACTGTGTTCACCCACAAGACATGTATCTGAGGTAAAATTTCCTTTGAAGAGAAGGGAGACAAAGACCCAGAAAGGAAGGATGGGGAAAAAAGAAAACAAAAGGCCTCTTTGCTGTCTGCTTTTGTCAAAGCATCACTTCAGATGTCACCATGGCATGTAAATGCAGAAAATTCATATACTGCCTGTAAATCCATTCTTGTGACTGGCAGTACCTCTGGTTTGAGTCAAACCTGGCCAAAAATGTTCTTAGCCTAAACTGGGACAAGTGTGCCTCTCAGAGCTGTGGAGAGGGTGAACGACAGCTGTGTCCTGCAGCATCTAGCAGCATTGGTGCTTGACCTGTCCACATGCTTTCCCTCCAGCCAACATCCAGAGCAGATCTCTTGGGAGTGATGGGTACATACAATCCACATCTCAAGCCACAGCTTGTGAACCCTTTTTCAGCCTCACAAACCCTAAGTACATTTGCCTCGGACACAAGACATTGGAGGTGTCAAAAACCTTATCCCTGGCTCACCTCTGATCCTGCCTCATGTGAATATACACATACCACAAGAAAGCTCCCTCAGTTATTACAGACATTACTTACTGGACATGTAATTTGTGCAAATAAGGAAGAAAATCTATCAAAGCCCTGCTTGTAGCTATTTGGTTCCTATGCTTTTAGTTCTTTTTCTTTTCTTTCTGAATGCCTTTGTATGAACAAGGTGTTGAGAAGATATGTGTATCATGGGCTCCTGCAATAGGCAAAATCTCAGTAACAATGCGTGTGTGAATATAGCTCTGAAAAATGAAGGAGGTATTTCCAGACATTATTTACAAATAAGTCTCTGCTTGTGTCTCTATCACAGATTTACATCTTCTGCATTTCATGCAGTTTTCCCGCCACCTTATATTGTGTCAGCTTTTCCAAGAAAAATTATCTAAAATTAATCCAAGGGTCATTCACCAAAAACTCCCTTTAGGAACCCTTTGGACTTTGGGTCCTACTGAACTTTTAGGCAGCAGAACTATTGACTGAAATGGGAACCAGAACGAAAATACAGTACTTCTCTGACCTTTCTAAAGGCCAATAAAACCACTTGGTGTGCTCCACAATGTTTGACACAGACCACATAACCTTTCACTGGGCACCTACTGTATTATTTCTCCCTACTTTACTGCAATTTTATAGCTTCCCTATAATGCTAGAATGATCCTGTTTCTAACAGCAACAAAATAAATGACTGACAAAAATTGATTGCAATTGGGTTGCTTTAGAAAATGTTGTTTGCATTTCTGTAAATTCCCTCAAAAGAACTCCCCAGGATAAATTTAGAATGGTATTTTTATGGCCTCAAGTTTGAGGTCCCAAGTTCATGGTTGTGAGACCTGTGAATCCTTGGATCCTTTCTGAATCTGTAACTGATTCACAAAACTACACTATGGTTCAGGAAAGAAGGTCAAAGAAGAACCTGTTCAACTCCAAAGCATGCAGAAGGATTAAACCACGTGAACTGCAAGAAGGTTTCTTGGGGAAGGCAACCCACCTTGGAGAAATATCACATCCTTGCTGCATGAAAGCTCCTAGGGAGAACCAGAGACTGTTGAATATCCCAAACTCATTCGTCTGGTCGTTGGCCGGCTGGTCCCGTCCTTCCTCAAATTCCTCAGTGTGCCACTCATAAGGGCTGAAGCGACTCACCAGGAAGAGGACAACACTCACCCCAATGTAGGCAAAAACAATGCACATCCATATCTCGTAAGCCAAAGGATCCAGAAAGGAAAAAACTCCTGGTTTGGACTTCTGAGGTTTTTTTATCATGATAGAGATACCTAAGCTCATGAACGGTTTGGAAAAGTCTATAACTTCTTCTCGAACCAGAGTGATGGTTAATGGTGCCACAGCCACATCCGCCCTCTGAAAAGGAGAGACAGAAAAGAGATTTGCATTCTGGGGATAAAATATACCTCCTAACTCCAGTTTATGTTCCCTTGATCTCTGTTTACCCCTGCTATCTCAGAAGAAATCAGACAAAACCAACTGCAAGAGAAATGTTAAAAAGGAGCAGCCCATAATATTGGTGGATTATTCCCATTTTAGCCCTACTGATTACCAGTTCTGTTTTGAAATCACAGCATTTTCTTTTTGCAGCCACCTAGCTCTTCTTGTCTGATTTATCCACTGATGTCACAGTCTGATGCAGATGATTTTTGCTAAAAGAGCATTATCATACAGACATCAAAAGAGGCAAGGAAAGGCCAATTGCCTGAAAAAGGATGCCAGGATGTTTACTTCCATCAGGAACTGCTTTTTGATTACATAACTGATGCAGGAGAAGAGGAAAAATGTTCCAGTGACACTGATGTGCACTCTCCACTTATTTTACAATCAGTCTTGAAAATGGAAAGGGAAATGCATTGAAATGGCTGTCGGCATATACTGTGGAGCTACCAGCAGGAGACAGATCATCCCCCGCTCCAACAGTGACACAGAGACTTGGGCACTGATGCTCCCTATGCTAATTTCCCCTTTCCCTTCAAGGGAAAATTAGACCCCTCTGAAGGATGACCTAAACACCACAGGTTGTGAACTACCAGACTGGACCAAGTTTAGAAGTGTAGAGTGCAGGTGTGTATCTGAGATGATGGAAATGAGCGGCTAGACGGAAAGCAGTCTAGTCCTGCCGTTCACTAGTCATATGCAAAGTGTTTGAAATCTTACCCTTCTTTCATCCTGCCATTATCATGCAAATATAAAACAGAGTAAAATTTGGAGATTCTACCCATGGGAAAGTTTGACCTTTCAATACTTGTTCTTCCAAAAATGGAAAGAAAAACAGTCTTGAAACTGTTGAAAGGAAACATTTTGACATTTCCATAGGCACAAAATGTGCTGTCCCTCCCTAAATTAAATTGTTTTACTTGGGCTGATTATTTGCATTATCAGAGCTGCAGTCCTCAAGACAGCTCAGGCTGACAGAAGGCAGGGATCCTTCTTACTCTAGGGCTTGAATGCGTTCGCAAGTACGAAGAGCTAAAGACAACGGATGAGGTTGGAAACTCACCCCATAAACAAGTTCTCCCACCATGCCGTTCCATGTTTTTGTGTCAGGGTCTCGGGCTCCGTACTTCCCATCTCTGACAATCTCCAGCCTGTAGTGGTAGCCAACATGCTTCGCAATCTCAGCAGCGAGCTCCACACAGTAGCCTTCATACCTCTCATTGCCTTCAAACTGGTTGGCGTTCTTCTTGAGCATCACATATGGGTCTTCCTGTCACAGAGAAGACCAATATTGAGCCACACTCCACATTTTAGAGATGCATATCAGGGGCTCAGACTAGAGCCCAGTGTGCAGCTTCTGGTCCCTTTGCAAAGGGCACAGTCAACACACACTGGGCTTCTTTTAGAAGGTAAGGAGTGTGATTTTTGTTGTGGCATTTTCTATTTATTCAGGCAGAATCTGTGTGCAGCTTCTGCAGTGATGGACCTGAGAGGAATGGAGTCGCTGGGGGAATCTGGGCAACAAACCTTTCAGTGCAGTTCTGCAAGGGATATTTAGTGCATCTGAGCTGTGAATTTTTGAAGTCACGTCTGCCTATGCAGGCACAGGCAGAATCAAATCTGCTGGGCAAGAGAGAGCCTTGAGATGTTTAACTCAGTTTGGGTATTGTGTCTTCTCTGTAGACTCACAGTAAGCATTCAACAAACAAGTTAGTAAAATTTCATGTTTCTGCAGGGTAAGCGTATACAATGACAGAATACATGATACCATACATTATGGGGTACCTATTATTCCTTCATGATTACAGTGGAGATTTGTTTTTAAAGCTATGATTCAGCCTCTCTGCACAATACAGCGTATCCTTCCCAAAATTACAGCCCCCATTCTGTGGGCTAAATACAAAGCACAGGTATAATGTTTCTAATTTACCTATGCTGATGCCTCTACTATCTTGTCATAATCTTTTGTATTTTCTACACTTAAGCATGAGAGCTCTTTAATACCTATTTAATTAGCCACAGCAATTTTCAGATACCTTTATGGACCCGGCAGGAAACAGTAAGTGCTGTTATTATTATTATTATTATTGTTATTGCTATTATAAAAATGACATAGTACAAAGGAGGGCACACGAGGGGGGAAGAGGGAGTCTGCACATCAAGGAGATGGGAGACAAGGAGAGCTGGGATAGACGTCACAGTACTTACTAGGATAGTTGTGACTATGTAAGTCCTGTTCTGGAGGCTTGTGGACTCATTGCCACTTTGAGTATCTATGGCTGCTGGAACCAGCTTCTCATCTTCATTCCAATAACCAATCTGCCGAATACAAACCCAGGATATCTCATTGATATCTCTTTGTACTATTAACCAAGATAAGGTAACAGAGTCATCCAAGCAGAATCAGCTCTTTCTGTATGTTCCCACCCAACTAGAGATCTCCTCTCCTGATTCTTGATGTCTTTTGCTGGGGGGAGCAGGAACTTCCCCATCCCACCAGGCCTCCAGCCTGAAAATAATGTGCATGATACACTACAGTAGCAGAGTTCTTGTATGCATGTAAAAACATTTAGCACACGGTACTGGGGGATTATTGCCATTCCCTGCCTCATCCCTATGCCAAGAGTTCACATTTCCCCCGTGTGACTTCTGAACACTTTTCTAATGGTGAACAGGCCTGCGGCATGTCCAGATGCTACAGGGTGATAAAATGCTATCCTGCACTGAATGCCTGCATGAACATGGGTCTGACTCTTAGGACATGTTGAGACAACAGGACATAAAAATCAAGTGAGAAAAAAACCCCAACCCTGGACAGTGTCAAAAAGTTTGGGGTTATGAATAAACTGAACAGTTGTAATGGGAAGAACTCTCATGTTAAGTTGTGCTGATTAATCATCGGGGATTTGGGCTGACCTATCACTGCTTGCAGGTAAAGCAGAGTGCCATCAAGTATCACTAGGAAGATCATTATTGAGGTTATCCACTTTGAGGGCTTGATTTTATAAGAGGTTTTCCATCTCCTCATGTATGAAGTTGTCTGAGCTCTGCTCATGCGAAAACAATTTCTTATCACAGTAAATGGGAAAGGGTATTAACATGTGGCACGACCAGGAGCTGGCTGATGGGAGATTAGAGATCATAACAGCTCAGGAAAAAAAAATCTATGCAGGCTTCAAATCTCTCTTCAATGCACAGACAAAAAGAAAGGAGAGTGAGGAAAGAGCTTCCAAAGTTCTGCCCTAGGGCAACATAAATAGAGACACGTATGTTTGTTTTGTATCTCTAACCTGGTGGATCTAAAATACAATACGCATTGTGGCAGTGACATACGTCTTCCAAACAAATATCATTTCTGTCAGTAAATACACAGCAAAATCAAGACGTTTAGCCATTCCATTTCTTCTCCTCTAGACTCTCTCCAGATTGTCAACTTCTTGAGGTTCAGAGCCTCAAACTGGACATAATACTGCATTTGTCCTCTTATCAATACCACGTAGAGGAGGAAGACCACTTTGTATGTCTTCAAAATGACACTTACTTCTCAATAAGAAATTTGCCTTTTTTTGCTTGACTGTGGTGGACTCTGATATTATAACGGTTGCTCTCAGGTGTAAGTATGAACTGGGGATAGAGGCTGTAAATGTAGAACTTTCGCTATTTGTAGTTTTTCTTAGTTTCAAACAAGTATTTTATTTTTCAGGGGATTGAGGGAGTGCAGAGGGATTCCAGTGAATGCTCCATTCCAAAATATTTAGTAGCTCTCCTTTTTCAACAGAATAACCGAGTTATTCTTTGTTCTTCAAATATGTAGTAGCTAAAGTGGGACATAAGCACATGGGGTCAGGTTTTCAAAGGGATTAGTGTTTCAAGGGCTTGGCACTCGTGAACAAGGCCAGATTTTTCTAAGTGCCTGGGATACAGAAAGAGATCAAGACTCCAGAACAGCACAAATGTCTGTGTAACTATCAGGACACAGTTAGTGGTAAAGTACTTGTAACTTCAAGGAGAGCAGAATTAGGTCAACATAAAGGGTTCACCTACACTTCACTACACAGTTTCTGCCTGGCTCATCCTTGCCTCATCCTTGGAAAAGAAAAGTGGAAGAGCACAAAACAGACAGTCCTGTAGCTGGGCCTGAGCGAATGTCACCTGCCAATAGCAAGGCTGAGTCAGCCAAGCTTTTACAATCCTGGAAATCCCTGCCCCATAGCGGAGATGCCCTTGTTGCTCCTAATAACTTGCTCCCTTGCATATGTTGGGTTTTTTTAGTAATATACCATGAGTTCTCCCTAGTGTTTGGCTTTGTTCAGGCAGAGAGCTGGGAATGCATTCGTGGTGACTCCACATGCAAGCTTTCATGGACAGAAATGTCTTTTGAGACCTAGCCACACCGTAACTTGAACACTGGGCTGGTGCCTGACACAGGATCTCAGGTCGCTCTCTACTTTACCTTTCTGATCCCATCATGTTTCATCTCAATCACATGGAGGGTGTAGTTGGTCCTCCGTCCCTTCTCGTTAAACTGAACGTTGCCAGACAATCCTTCAAAACGGACCTTAAAGACATAAATATCAATGAGGAAAGCAAATTGGTCAGCATCTCACACGGTGGTGATTCGGCAGTAGTCAGAGAGGAGGGGAAGAAGGATGGAGAGTGCAGTCACGTCACTCAGATCCATGCAGGGGAGACAGGACATCTATCCGACACTAGGCTTTCACTTAGGTTCACTCTCTACAGCATGCCTGGCCATATGCATAGCCATTCTCTTAACCTACTTCTTCTTTTAAAAACCCTTTCTCTTAAAACTTAGTGGTCTATTACGGAGCTCAGCGATGCATAAGACCTAGATCACACGTGTGAGTTCATCAACTCTTGGGATGTGACAGTGAGCTAAATCAGCTCTGAACTCCTTGGGTTTTGTGGTTTTTTGTATTTTCTAAATCTGACCTGGAGTCAGGATTTGGTAAAGAATTTGTCAGTTCAAATCAAGAACTGTATTGGAGGAAATATGAAACCGTGGCCACAGTTCCCAGCTGCCATCTTTTGATAGAGAGGAGTTTATCAGTTAACAAGCAAATTTAATTACCTCTGCACCAGCCTAATAAAACCTGACAATTTAGTATTGTAAATGAAATTTGTATAGGAAACTTTGAATCATAAATCTCTGCTGATAACACTGCCAAACTGAAGAGCATTGCTCACATCACATCTCATATCCTTAACTTCTCTCAACATGGCCATTTGACTTGCTGCAAAAATGCCCAGCCTAGCATGGAGAAGGGCTTCCGACTGGAGTCACATACAGTGTGTGTGGACCAGGCAGCAGGGACCAGGAACATGGGAAAAGGAGTGCAAATTTTGGTCTCTATAGAGACCACCTGGGGAACTGCACTGGATTGTGAATTAAAGGTTTGTTCTCAGCCTTTCTGCTTGCTTTGGACAAATCAGTTGTCCTTGCAACTGAAGTCTTCCCACATGCAAAATGGGAACATGTATTTAGCAGTCATTTTAAGGACTCTGAGATCCTCAGAATAAAGACCCATGGTGAAAAAATGAGGACATATCATTACGGAGGAAACCTGCTGCTAATCTGCTTAAATTGTGTTTGTTTTTCAGCTATTATCACAAAGGTTTGTCACGAAAATGAACATCTGCCAGTATTTTCTGAAGCTCCTTCACGTCAAGAGGTATTCCTGGTGACATTTGGAGAAACATGCTTTTCTCTTCTCACGAGACACGACATGCCCATAAAAGATAGATGCACTGGAAAAGCACCGTTGTCTTAAGCATTCCCAAGTCTGCTTTTTTCATGGCCCCTTTGGTTTTCTTTTCAGGTTTTGACCAACTCTGAAGCTCAGGTCACAGGTGCTTGTGCTTTGTAGCTTTACATACACTAAAAGGCAGGTGTACAGCATCAATTTCTTCTATCTGAATGAATGAAATTTTAATCCTGTGATATCCATGTGGCACTGAAATGGGAAAAGGGATCTCTGCCATCCATGCTGAAGGATGCAGCACAACTGTTCGATCATTTACCATCCCCTGAGACTCGCTGAATCACTACAAAATACAGTGAGGACTGGTTTCAACAGTGCTAAACACCAGTAAAGTCAACTGGAGACATGGAGCATTTAAGCACATTTGTGTGTAAGACATGTGCATGTGTCTCCTTGCTGGGAGAACTGGAGCAGAAGGATGTTATTGTGTCCTTCTGGTTTACAGAGTTAGTCAGTGGTTAGGGACTAGCTACCTGCTTCTTAGATGTGGTAACCAAATGGCATTAACAAAAAAATCTGTCAAAAATTATCAGAATCTTTTCAAAGTATAACTGAAACCCCAGTGTATTGGTTTAAAGTAATACTTTCTGAGCATTTTCCTGGACAAAAAAGTAATTCTGTTTAATAAAAGCATACATTTTGCCAAAATGTGTTAGATCTCTGTTTTTGAAAAATTGCAGAATGTTTCAAATTGCTTTTCTTCTTTGCTCCTGCCATCCATGACTCCTTCCTACACTAAACAGAAATAAGGCAATTCAAGAGCTTATTCCAGACATTTGAGTAGAAATAAGTAGAGAAACTTTTTGCTTTTAAACAGCTTATAAAATTTAGGCATTAGCAAATGGGAGGTGAAGAGAAAGCATACTGTGAATAGCTGTAAGAATTGCCCTAATTTTCAGTCTTTATAGAAAGGATAACTCAAACCTTCAATCTAATCATAAGTTCTTCTATTTGCATCTGCCTCTTTCTTGCTACAACACTAAATGCTGGATGATTACTAAATTCATAGTTAAAATTTCCCTAGGAGACTTCTTCCCCTGCATGTTTCAGAGCTTTGTATTTTGACCATCACAACTGAACTGGTCAAACCCTCTTAAAATTATAATTTTTCAATGGTAAATAAACAACTTTTGCAAATGGCTCTTCATGTTCTTTGCCCAAAGTCACTACAGTTGAAAAATTAAGACTTTTGAAATTGTTTTAATGAAGAGATGAGGAAACTTCAGAGGAGATTTTCCAACAATCCCGAAATTGTATTTTCTAGCTGTCTAATTTTGATATCCTCTTCTCAAAATTCAATAAAGGAAAATGCTTGAGAACCTATTGCTCATCAGAAGACTTGCAAGTATTTCATGTTTATTAGGTAACCGATCTCCCTAATGCATCAAGGAGGCTGATTTTATTATAAGGGTTTGGAGAAGCTATGACAGTGATTTGCCCAAGGTCATACAGAAAGTCAGTGACAGGCTTGGGAACAAACTGAATCCAAGCAATAAAATCAAATCAGATGCAAGATTTGGTTTTAAAGGAATTGTTGTTTACCAGTAAGCAAAAAACAAATCAAAACAAAATACCTGGGGAAATTTATATATGATGCAAATTAACCAAATTAATTTTATTCCTCTTGCCTTCTTCACAGTTAAGGAAAGAAGCTGGAATAAGCTATATTTGGATAACACTGAACTAGCAGTATTTGCAAGGAATCCATCTATTTTTGCCTGAAAAAGTAAAATGCTAGAAATGAATGTCAGTCTTGAAATTTAATGAAATTTTAAAATATTCTACCTTTCTTAGTCTTTGATAAGAGTGTATTCTTTTTCTCTCTTGCTGCAAGTTTCATGTAGTATTTTTGTTTATTCAAAGATCTAAATTTTTATGCAGGATGAAAAAGTAAGATTATCAGCTTTAAGGAACAAACTATCTAAATGGCTGTTATTAAGACTTTTGCGAATCCTCACAGTATGAAACAAGCTATAATCTGGGCTTTGAGAACATTTTGATGACAGTCAACACATAAGACAAAATTCACATGGTTTCAAGCTTCATTAGCAGTCTGGAACTGAAGCTGAGTTCACACAGAGTCGAAGGATCTGCAAAAAATACAGTCTGAGCAGCAAAAAATATGGTCTGACCTGCAAAAAATATAGTCTCTCTTGGGAATGGGAAGACAAAAATAGGGACCCATGATTTTATGGGATAGTATTTTGGCTTTTCCATCCCAGGAGTTCAACAGACATCAGAGGAGGCAAGGACAGATCGGATGGTACCAGGAAAAGCAGTTTGCTGGATGCACCCCTGAAGTCTTTAGAAGACCTGGCTCTAATCTGGAAGGATCAGTTCCTCACCCCAAACTATTTGTTTGAGCATTTCTGCTGCTAATCACCCCTCTTTCCCCACCCACAGGCTATGTTCAGCCGTCCTTCCAGTGGACACATTGTTTGGGTTTCAAACCTGCTGCAGCGCTCTTTGGATGTCGATGCCTTGTCCCCAGGGCACGGCTGGGTTGGCAAGGCAGTCCCCGGCATTGCCACGACGGGAGATGTCGATCCGCTGCCTCCGCAGGTTCTGAAATGCCTCAGCCATCACCCGGACCCCGTCGTATGTTAGAGCCGACGTGTACTAGAAAGAGAAGAGAGTCATACATTACCTGTTACGGTGAGCTGACCTCAGACGTGCTATGCTGGTTTGCCTCATGGTAACTTTTCAGATTATTTGCTCTGTTTTCATCCTTCCATCTACGAAGTTCAACAGCCTCTTTCTCCCTGTAATCACTACTGTCCCGTTGACTTGTAAAAGTTGGTGCCTTCTCTCCCAGAAGACAGGGGAGTGAAGGAGACGCTCCTGATGTGCATTCAGATTGCACTTGCTGAAGAGGACTTGGTCTTAAAAGCCATTCACCTGTTATCCAAGTCTTTGTGTTTAATTAGAACCATTGACCTGAAGTTTCAAGGAATACATTATACAGTGTGAATGTGTGATACGTGAAATCAAGTGACAAGTGACTCTTTCTGGTCAGAGGTGGAGACCTGAAAACTCTACTTCAACGTGCAAAATTTCTGCAAAAGATGAGTTTATTCAAGCAGAAGCTTGCACAGAAACCAGTGTAAAACTCTTGGCATGAACAGTAACTATTAGAGTTAGTTCCTTTTCCTATGATCACCTACTGATTTATTTGTTTGCAACTTTCTTAAAGTAATATTTCCAAAGTTGACATTTCTATTGCTGAGTGTTTGTCACAAGTGTATTTGTTTTCAAATGTCAGATGATAGAAAAAAACCTCAACTCTCTCCTCCGCCCGCCCTTCTACAGCTTCAGGGTCTTCTGTGTTAGGAATTAAAATATATTTCCCCTCTGTTGTACACACTGATTTGAAACGCTCAGAAAGAACATCTGGAAAGACTTTATTACCACCAGATATCTAGTAAACAAGTCAAAGGTTAAGGAGTTAATGAGGCTTTTTCTTTTTTATATACTGAACATTATGAGATGTTTAATCCTTAGTTTAGAAGAGAATAAAAACTGGGAGACTGAGTGAATACACTAACTTGTGTATTTCTTAGCAGGCAGCAACTACGGCCTAGTAAAATTTAGATAATGTTGAGGTACCTGGAATAGATAATGTTCATAATTATATTAACTGACAGGTTTTCAGAGCGAGATGAGAGAGCTCTGCGTGATCACAAAGAGGTAAGCAGAACTTGAACCGAGCCAAATGGACCCTAAATTAAATGGGTTTTTTATACCACTTGCCTTTGGCCTCTTCCAGTCCACACGAGGATGCTCCCTGGCATCATTATTCCTCCACTGCTGCATGATCCTGGCGGGAACAGCATCCGTGTAATTCACCAACTGGAAGCCAGTTACGTTAGCTCCGCTCTCCTTGAATTTGGTCAGGTCAATATCCATGAATCCCTAGTGCAGGAGAGAAACAGGAGAAGCTCATCAGACGAACACATCTCTGGATGGGTAAGAGGAATCCTGCCTATCTGTGAATATGGCAGCCAGTTTAGGACAAATCTCTGCCCTCTGCAAGGTAAGGTCCAATTCAAGAGAGGCACCACTTGCCTGACCATGAGGTGAACTTGCCTTTCTTACAGGGTCTGAGCTGGACATATCCTGCAGTTTCCACCCAGGGAGACCAATAGTCATATTAGTAACAGCTCATTTGCAAGAAAGCTAGCAGACTAACAGAAAAATATATCCTGAATAATGCTTGGAAGAAACTAATAAAATTCTCAAAATATATTAGAAAGAATTATTCACCCAGCTCTAACTTCTATGCACTCAGTCACCAATGGATAGGCTACCTCTTTTCAAATTACAGTTTGCAGGGAAAAACAAATCCTAAACAATGAACTTTCAGCAGATCAAGAAGTGAGTGGTTGGTCAGCTTGTCAAAGGAAATTGTCTGTTAGAAAAGCCAGTTTATAAGACTTGCTAATTTGGGAGAAAAAAGGGTACTTTTTCAGACTTCAGATTACTAATGAAATACATTTCTTTAATTTCTTTATTGTTTTCCTCTACTTCTTGCCCACTGCATGTGATGAACACACGTGTATCGGGGTGGCACTGTAGAATTAGTAACTCCTGTTGAGTCAGAGGCAAAAAAATAATTAGAGATACACTGCAAGCAATATGGAGAAGAGGTCATTTTTTGTCTCCCAGCTTTGATCCTATCTCCTCAGTACTGCTGCTACACAAAACTATTTGCTGTGCCTTCTTACACAAAGCAGGTGCTTGAACAGACTGCCCTCCTGCTTGAGTTGCTGTGTGGGACAGGCTGAAGTCTGGTGCTTTTTCTTTTGGAATACAAGCGCAAGAGATGTAATTTATTTTCACTAGTACCATCAGCAACCATAATGCATGAGGGAAAATGAATGAGAGGACTGTGCACAATGCAATCACTTGAGCAACAGAAGAGCTTGTTTCAGCTCTGCCTTCCCTCTGCCCTGCTGGTGCATGTTCTCTGCAGGCACCTTCTCAACCTACCACTGGGTTTCTCTCCATTGCTTGCTCTCAAACATATGATGATGGGGTGAGTTAAAAAAGGCAAGTCACATTATTCCCAGGAGACATCCGTCAGCTTCCCTAAATGGTACCCTCTGTGTATAGGCTGGGGAAGCTAATTAGTTTACTAACTTCCAAGGCCAGGATCAAGCTGTTAGATGGAAACCTGTTTTGGGAACAGACAGCTTGCAAGGAAAAGACTAAATTGCCCTCTCACACCAGCGTCAGACCGAGGGAGTCATAAGTGACTCAAAAATGTCTTTAAAGACCTTCCCACTTTTTCTTCCAGCTTTTTGTAAGCAATTTGGTATCCACTTACAAGACTGAGGATTGGATATAGATGTACAGATGCTCTAAATAGGTGATTCGTTTTGCTTCAAAGTGCAGTGATTTAGGTAAAAAAAAGTATTTTGTGTGTATGTATTCCTCGGAATGCTGGTTAAACCCACATCAATCTTGTTTGTAATTGCTAGCGTAGGGGTTTCACAAAGCCAGAGCTGTGATTAATGAATAGGAAATGCAGCAGAATAATTGTCCCTGACATCTTAATGCATTTCAGGCCAAGTGTTTTTTGACACACAGAGCTCCTAAGGTTCAGTAAGAGGGATCTCACAGGTTGCCAACAGGTTATTCATGGCTAGGACCAAATTACACTGACATTTTGCTCCTGGGAGGTACTCAGGGGAAAAAGATCTGTCAAAAGAAACTACCACACAGCAACTTGAAGTTTGTGCCACCAGCTCCTCCTTGGAAGGCTTACAAAGGCATGAAGAAAAGTCCAATTTCACAACAGAGTATGAGTAAGGTGTCCGGTGTATTTAGCCCCCTCAACAAGCAGATTTAAATAGGAGAAGTCAAAAAAAGATTATGACACCAGTGATGAGACCGCAGCAGTTGAAAACACTGTCTTTCACTCTTTTCCCCAAACCAAACTGTTCTGAAACTGAAGCAAGTATTCAACAATATTCATTGGCATAAATCTTACATAAAATTTTAAAATAATCTGAAGAGACAAAAGGAATTATTTCTCCTGGAGGATTGTACTAATTTTTCCTTACTGATTTCTGACAGAATTCAGGTTCTTTAAAAAGTGTGGAGACCTCTGAAGATTTTCCAATTGTTTAAGGCAGTTGGGACCATAGATGACATCATTAACCTTGAATACGTCTTTGCATTTTGGCTGTTATCAACTGCTGAAATAACTGTTTTCACCTGTTATTCCTCCTCCACATGCCCCAGTAAAAGGTCAGTATAGGAACGGTCCTAATTACAAATGAATTTTAATCACTACACCATTGAAATCTGCTCAGAGCAGGTCTGGGTGATATGACAGCCAATGAACTGGGAATACTAGAGGACAGATATTTTAGAAAATAATTCCCAGAGGATCTGAATTTTTGCTGGCTAACACATAAACAAGAAAATATCAAATGTTATGCAAACTGTCGTTTGAAAATGTTTCTATTGGCAAAGTGGCATATGGAATTAAATATGCTTATCTGTCTTTCTGGAACATCAGTCAGTGCTTGTAGGAAACAGGAGAACAGGAGAATTACAATGTTTGCAAGTAAAGAAGTCATCAATCATCTGTCACCTTGTACTAACTATAGCCACATATTGCAAAAAAAAGAATTCTTTTATTTAGTTTTCAGTTGGCCATATTTGGAAAACAGAAAATAAATTCTTTAAAATTTACTAAGGAAAGACTGCAACCCACTACTGAGTGGCAGCAGATGTGCTTTTGCAGCAGTGTGTTTCGTTTCAACCAGTTTGGGAAAGAACCAGCACAGAAATGCTTCCCTTTGCCATCCAATCAAGTACAGCTAGAAGTGAACAGTGCTGGAATGACATACTCCATGGGACCACAGAGGTGGTCAACCAGTTTTGAAACCATTTCAAAAATTGCCAATGAGCACTGGGAAAAGCTCGCTTTGCAGCCACCTCTGGAGCACAGTGGGCTGCTCAGGGAAATGAGCTCAGCCCCTGGCATTTGGTAGTATATGACTTTCTTCAGGCTCTTTAGACCTGAACCATTTGGGATGGACATGCAGCTATCTGGCTTCACCTCCCTATGCAGCACTGCCAGTCCTCTGAGGAGGAAGAGGAGGAATAGGGGAACTCATGCTCCAGCCCAGGTGCTGTGCCAGCACCCCTGGCAAAGCAGGCATAGGGGGACTCAGAGGCAACACAGAGCTCCTCGGGGTCCCAGATAGGGTCACTGCCCAAGATGTAGATACTCTGAGGGAGACAACACTTCTGCAGGCACAGTTCTCTCTGGGAACCATCAAAACCAGGCTGGAAGGGACACCATGTCAGCCAGCCCACCTCCTGCCCTACAGCAGGATCAGCTGTCCCTTCGATTTAAATTCACTTTGCAAAATCATCTCAGCAAACCAGAGAATACGGCCTCCTGCCTTGCATATGCCTGGAAAATGCCCGGCTTTCTCTGAATGCCCTCTAATTAGCAGGCTGACAATAAACCACAAAAATCTGGACCCATCCATGTTGATGGGCTGAGAGAGCCTCCCTCCTCCATGCCTGCTCTGACTCACAGCATCCACAACAGAGAGTTCGAGCAACAGCCAGGCTCAGTTCAAAGGAGGAAACTTGCTCTTAAGCCCATACTGTGGACTCTTCTCTCTGCATTAATGAACCTTGCAAAGCGATTACATGCAGAAGTCCTGCTGTTAGTAAATAATATGGGTAGCTGTTACAGACCTTCATGCCTTCAAATCAAGAACAGAACAGTACTGGGAAGGGTTTTTCCTCATTGTGTTTTCCTTGCTGCATCTGTTCTTTTTGCTGTGCTTAAATGGAAAACAGTTTTCAGCCAAAGGTTGTTTTACTGTCCCATTTGCTGCCTTGGTTGCTGGGAGAGGTGTCAGCAAGTCACACATTTATATTCCTCTCCACTGCTTGTGGGCTCAGTCATCAAAGGAAATGCATAATGTAGGAAGACTGATGACTTGAAATGGGCCCCATAAATCCATCTTGATTAACTGGTCCAAGAAGGATCTGCCTTGAAAAGAAAGTCCCCCAGAAATGAGCCAGCTCCTTATTCATACCCTGAACGCCATGAGGAGCCAAGACATTGAGTGGGCAGTGCAGACGGCTGTCAGACGGTGTAAATTCCTCCGTGCATGACCCTCCTCAAATCTGCCAGCACCACCTACTTCCCTGCATCTCTCCTTTCACCCTCATATTTCATTGCCTTACCATCCTAAACCTCTGCCTCCTCTCTACACACTGGTGGCACCGGGCAGCATTGCTCCTTCTGAGACATCATCCCAGCCCACGGGAACGCTGCAGACAGCAGTGGCCTCAGGTCTGTACCTGGACATCGAAAAGCAGACAGCCACTGCCCCACACCTTCAAATTCTCTCTGTATTTCACTAAACGGGTATTAATTGCTGGCACTTTCCCTGCAGGATGCCTCCTGCAGTATAATTGTGCCTTTGAAGCTGCAGTAACAGGCAGCAAGGGCTGAGATCTGGGCAGGCTGCAGCTCATCATCTCATAAACCTCTCCACAGCCCAGCAGCAGCAGAGCTTAAAATCTCCGTGCCTTTGCTCCAAGCCTCAGTTTTTCCTGAGAGAAAAGACATTAGAGAGTCTCCTTGAAGACTGCCACATTTCTGAGAAACACTGCTGTTTTCTCTCCTCCCTCTGCATCTTCCAAGCCCTTCAGATCTCCCTCTGAGACTGACAAAGCTCATCTCTGAATGAGGAGATGGAAAATGCCCCTTTCTCTTGAATTGCCTGGAGAAGGCTTGTTAGCTGAACGTAACACAGTCCCCTCACCCCAGGAACGAGTGTTAGGTTTCTTTAGTCCCTTTCTGTCTGTGATGAAGAGACTATAGTTTTGGGGGGGTTTGTGTTTGTTTTTGTTTTTTTTTTTTTTTTTT